GGCTGGGAGTGTGAATAGTTGTTAATGGGGACTGTTAGTGACTGACAACAGGGGGTGTGTAATGGCAGGCTATGTGGTAACAAGGCCTGGTGTGTGGCTGGGGGGCTGGGACATGGGAGAGTTTAGGCCCTAAAATTACTGAACTCAATTATGAGTCCGGAGGGCTGTAGGGTCCCCCAGTGGAAAATGAGGTGTTGTTCCTCCAGCCTGCGTTGGGCTTCACTGGAACACTGTAGCAAGCCAGAGAGAGAGATGTTGGCAGATATGTTAAGGGGAGGTGGCTAGATTCTGTCCTATTGTAGATAGTTTTTGCCTGGTATTTGAGTGCAGTGAATGTAACTTTTTAACCCAAGCCTTGTTCAAGTCTTGCTGCGTTTGGACATGGGCTACTTCAGTATTTGAGAAGACATGAATGGTGCTGAACACTGTGCAATCATTGGCAGACATTCCTACTTCTGACATTATGACGGATGGAAGATTGATGAAGCAACTGAAGATGGTCGGACAAAGGACATGACCCTGAGGAACTCCTTAGGAATGTCTTGGAGCTGAGATGATCAATGTCCAACAACCACAAACATTTTCTTCATGCCAGGTATGACTCCAACCAGCAGAGAGATTTCCCCCCGTTCCTATTGACTCCAATTTTGCTAGGGCTCTTTGATGCCATGCTTGATGTCAAGGGCAGTCACCCTCACCTTACTTCTGGAATTCAGCTCTTTTGTGTAAGTTTGAATGAGCTATGATGAGATAATGAGCTGAATGGCCGAGGTAGACTCCAAACTGGGTGTCAGTGAGCAGGCTGTTAGCACTGCTAACCTTCCATTGATGACACCTTCCATCATTTTTCAGATGATTGAGAATAGACTTTTGGGCAGTAATTGGATAGGTTGGATTTGTCCTGCTTTTTGTATACAGGATATACCGGGACAATTTTCCAAAGTGTTGGGTAGATACCAATAGTCTAGCTGTACTGGAACAGTTTGGCCAGAGGTGTGCCAAGTTCTGCAGCACAAGACTTCAGTCCTATTGCTAGAATGTTGTCAGGGCCATCACCTCTCATTATCCCATGCCTCCAACTGATTCTTCATATCACATGGAGTGAACCGCATTAGCTGAAGACTACCTTCTGTGATGTTGGGGACCTTTAGAGGAGGCCAAGATGAATCACCAGTTGGCACTTCTGGCTGAAGATTGTTGCAAATACTTAAGCTTTATCATTTACTATGATGTGCTGGGCTACCCCATCATTGAGGATGGGGATATTTGTGGAGATTCCTCTTCTAGTGAGTTATTTAATTGCCCTACATCATTCTTGACTGAATGTGGCAGTTGTTAATAAATTTCAAAGAACAGTCTCAACAAAGAGGACCGCAACTTCCCCTCCACAGTGGTCAAAAACTCCCTCGACTGCATCTCTCACATTTCCCGCAACTTATCCCTCACACCCCCTCCCCACAAATAACAACAAAAACAGAATCCCCTCATCTTCACGTACCACCCCACCAACCTCCGGATCCAACGTATCATCCTCCGGCACTTCCGCCACCTACAATCTGACCCCACCACCAAGACACTTTTCCCTCCCCACCCTTATCTGTTTTCCGGAGGGACCACACTCTCCGTGACTCCCATGTCCACTCCACACTCCCCACCACCCCCGGCACCTTTCCCTGCAACCGCAGGAAGTGCTACACCTGCCTCTACACCTCCCCCCTCACCCTCATTCCAGGCCCCAAGAAAACCTTCCACATCAAACAGATGTTCACCTGCACATCTGCTAATGTGGTATACGGTATCCACTGTTCCCGATGTGGCCTCCTCTACTTCGGGGAAACCAAGCAGATGCTTGGAGACCGCTTTGTGGAACACCTACGCTCGGTTCACGACAAACGACTGCACCTCCCAGTCGCGAACCACTTCAACTCCGCCTCCCACTCCTTGGACGACATGTCCATCCTGGGCCTCCTCCAGTGCTACAACGATGCCACCCAAAGGTTGCAGGAACAGCACCTCATATTTCGCTTGGGAACCCTGCAGCCCAATGGTATCAATGTGGATTTCACAAGCTTCAAAATCTCCCCTCCCCCTACCGCATCCCAAAACCAGTCCAGCTCGTCCCCGCCTCCCTAACCTGTTCTTCCTCCCACCTATCCCCTCCTCCCACCTCAAGCTGCACCCCCATCTCCTACCTACTAACCTCATCCTGCCCTCTTGACCTGTCCGTCCTCCCTGGACTGACCCATCCCCTCCCTAACTCTCCACCTACACTCACCTTTACCGGCTCCATCCCCGTCTCTTCGACCTGTTTGTTTCCTCTCCACCTATCCTCTCTTCTATCCGCCTCCCACTCTCTCCCTATTTATTTCAGAACCTCCTTCCCCTCCCCCATTTTTGATGAAGGGTCTAGGCCCGAAACGTCAGCCTTTCTGCTCCTGCATGTTTATGATACTATGTATTTAAAAAAATGGAATTTTGCTGAATTTAGTTCTACAATTATGAGAATGGGGTTAAGAGAATAGGAGGTGCATGCTTATGTGAATCGCACAAAAGCATTTGATGTGTTTAGAGAGGGCATGAAAGGAGATAAAAGAGAAACTGAAGAAAAATACAAGGCTTGGGTTGAGAGAAGCCTGACATAAGTTAGGGCCAATGGGCTAGGGAAATGGAGAAATTGATGGATCAGCTGGTCAGTTGAAAAACAAAGGCTTGTATATATAGACCACATTTCTTGATCACCAAATATCTCAAAGCAATTTTTAGCCAATGGACTACCTTTTGAGGTATAATCATGATTATGATGGAGGAAATGTTGCAGGTCATGTACATTCAGTGAATACCAACAAACAGAAATGCTGTAATGGTCAAATAATCTTTTTTCTATGATGTTGATTGAGAAGTACATTTTGCCCAAGGCACCAGGGATAGCTGTCCTTGAAATAGTGGCATTGGATCTTTTATATTTGTAGAATAAAGGCCTAGTTCCTGCACTACTCTTAATATAGCTACTGAGCATGCGCAGAAGGAGTTATGTCATACAGATATTGTACAAATAAGAATGAGGAGAATCTTATCAAGGAGCAGTCGCTGTGACAACCTGGTGCTCAGTAAACCTGTTATACAATTGAGTGTTTCACTTTAAAGGTTACTTTACAAATATCTTTAACTCTCATCAGATCTCTTGTCAAGAGTAAGATACCCAACATCTTAGACAACAAGGTGCAGGGCTGGATGAACACAGCAGGCCAAGCAGCATCATAGGAGCAGAAAGGCTGATGTTTCAGGCCTAGACCCTTCATCAGAAAAAGCATCCTTAGAAGAGGTTTCACAGTGGGGTTAAAATTGTTTCAGAGATAGTAGGAACTGCAGATGCTGGAGAATCTGAGATAACAAGGTGTAGAGCTGGATGAACACAGCAGGCCAAGCAGCATCACAGGAGCAGGAAAGCTGACGTTTCTGAAGAAGGGTCTAGGCCCGAAACGTCAGCCTTCCTGCTCCAATGCTACTTGGCCTGCTGTGTACATCCAGCTCTACACCTTGTTATCTCGTATTTGTTATAGTTTCTGAGGGCCAGAGATTATGCTCTGATATTTCTCTGAAAGGTGTGGGAGGGACAAGTAATTTCCAGGTAAGTTTCCTGCTTTTTTTCTAGGCCCAAAACGTCAGCCTTTCTACTCCTATGATGCTGCTTGGCCTGCTGTGTTCATCCAGCTCTGCACCTTGTTGTCTCGGATTCTCCAGCATCTGCAGTTCCTACTGTCTCTGGCTACAGTCTGAGGTATGTTGAAAAAGTTCTTTATTTACAAAATAATATTAAATCATACAAGCTATATGCATCCACAATAAGGTCAAGGCTTTTGCGGTTGCTTTATTTCCAGAATCTGAACATCATCATGTGATCATAATAATGTCACTGAAACAGTAACACAAATTGCTGGAGAAAGTCAGTAGGCCTGGGACCACGTGTGGAGAGAGCAGAGTCAATATTTTGAGTCCAGTGACTGTTCTTCAGAACTGATAGCAACCAAGAAAAGGTGGTATATATGCTGAAGCCAGGGGTTTGGGATGGGATGGGGTGGGATGGAGTGAGTGGAGAGGTAGTAATGGAACCCAGAGAGAGACAATGACAGTTAGGGAGACAAAGAAATGGATGACAGTCTGCCAGGGGAAAGAAAAGCTGGTAATGGGGACCATAAGTACCTGAAAATGGGTTGGCTGTGCTGAAAGCAGCCCATGATATGACTAGTAACTGTCTAGTTGTGGTAGACGGCACAAGAATAAGATGGATGCAATCACTCTGATAGGATTATACTATAGACACCCCAACAGTCACTGAGACATTGAGGAATGATTATGTAGGCAGGTTATGGAAAGATGCAATAAGAACAGTTGTCACATCGGGTGACTTTAACTTCCCCAATATTGACTCGGACTCCCTTACAGCAAGAGGCTTAGATTGGGCAGAACTGTTTGCTCTCCATCTCCATCCTAGTTTGTGTTTCTGGACAAAACAGACATCTTCCTGCACCTCCACAGCTCCAATCAGAGATTTTGTCTCTTCAGCAGCATCAGGAGGAGAAAAAAATTATGATTGGTTGAGCTCAAGCTGCCTGGATGGGAGAGACAGAATCTGATTTGCAGGGGGGAGCACAGCTTTTCTCCCATTGGTCAACTTCTGATTGAATTTTCATGACTGTTTTTGGGGCCATTCAGGGGGTCAACTTGATGCTTGCCCTGGGTGCTTTCAGTGCTCCACAGACTATTGCTCAATAGTTCAAGTTAACCCTGGACCATAATTATTATCTTCACCTGTAATTAATTTTATATGAGAGAAAATGTGACATCACATTCTTAGAAATAAACAGCGAGGGATGTAAAAAAAATCAAAACTAAACTGTAATCTACAACAAGTTTGAAACTAACCTATTCAACATTGACTCACACTCCATAGTTAAGAAATATGCAACTCAAACATAACACCAGAAAGTTGTTCAGCTCACGATAATATTGGTTTGGTTTACAGTTAGATCCATGCTCTTGTTTCCAGTCCCATCCAGGCTCCGGTTAATTCTATCATCATGTTGAGTGAACATCTGGTTCATTTTCCTCCGCTTCCACTTCCTCTTCCTCTTCTACCTGTGTGTAATACAGAAATGCAGCTCATGCAGGATGCAGTACTGTCCTGTAACAGGCTCAAGGAGCTGAACAGCCTATTCACAGTGATACACTTTCTCCGAGAATTCAGTGAAGATCCAGTTAAGTGATGCACTGGGCCCCAGTCAGGGGATGTCAAGGATCGGATTGTTACAGGAGAGTGGCCCATGAAGAGTCAAAGGGGGTGTCAGCAGTGAATTGGGTGGAGGTGAAGTTGATTAGTTTAACAGTTGCCCAGGAGTTACGGCAGGTTTTTTTTAATTATTTATTTGCTAGATGTGAGCGTTGCCAGTTGGGCTAGCAATAATTGCCATCCTGAGTTTGCCCTTGAGAAGATGGTGGTTTTCTTTAACTTTTCCTGAGTGACATTTAAGCTAAGTCAGTCAGAATTCTCAGAAGCTTTCGACTCTCTCTCCAAAGCTGGGGGCTTATTTGGAGGTTTCTGGATGCTCGGATAACATTAGAAATTTCAACCTTCTGGACAATTCCCAGGAAGTAAGCTTTTACATGATCCTGATTGGCAACTTCTGTCTGAACTATTGCAATGACTAGCTTGCCTTCAGAAGACCTAGGCCATCTATTTGCAATCTCAGGGGTTTGACACTCTAAAAGGTTTGAATTAATTCAGCAAAGCCAGCGCTAATTTGTAAAAGGTAGATCATGCTTGAAAAATCTAATTGAATCTTTTGATTAACTAATAGAGAAGGCTGATGAGGAGAATGCAGTGGATATTATCCATGTCAATTTTAAGGAAGTATTTGGCAAAGTACCATATAAAAGGCTGGTAAATAAAACAGAGTATCTTGGAAAAAGAGGGTCATTTGTCAGATTGAATTAAAAAGGAGGACTAAAGTCAGAATGTCATGTAAAATGATGGTTTTTCAGACTGGACGAAGATTGACAGCACTGTTCCCCAAGGTTCAGTGCCATATTCACTGCTGTTTTTAAGATCTATAAATGAATTGTTGAGAATCTGATACAAGTGAGGATGATACCAATTGACTGCAACAGGATATATTTCAGGCTAGCAAAATGGACAGACAATTTGTTGCTTGAATTTAATACTGAGAAGTGTGAGGCAATACACTTGGCAGAGGGGATCTGGACAGTTAAGGAAGACTTAATAGCACTGTTGGGACAGAAGGACCTGGGGGTTCATTTGCTCGGATAATTGGACATGGCAAGACGTATTGATACGTTATTTAGCAAAGTGTATGGTACCCTGCGGCTTTATAAATAGAGGTACTGAGTACGATAATAAGTGTTATGCTAAATCTTTAAAAAGCTGGGCAACAGCTAGATTATTGCATCTAGTCCCAGTCGGCAGAGTTTAGGGAGAATGTGAATGTCCTCAGGGTTAGGACAGTTAGAAAGTGAACTTTCAGAGAGATTTGAAGAACTGGAGAATGTGGAGCTGAGGAGGAGAGACTGAGGAATGAGGATTCTGAAGAGTTGGGAACAGGATTTTATAGGGAGTAGAAATTGGAGAATGAGGACTGAGGAGACGAGACTAAAGAATGGGAAGGGTATCGGGGGAGGAGATTGTGCAATAGGTGCAGAAGGAAAAATTGGGGATTGGGGAATCAAGACTCAGAGGCACACATGTAGGTTATGGAACAGGAATGGGATGCTTGAAAGAGAGGTTAAGATTAGGGGATGGAGGTTCAAGGAGGAATAGAGACTTTCCAGATAGCTAGAAGCAGCAGGAGTGAAAACAGTAACACTGATTAATAGGGCAAGTGAAATTCTGGAATCTGAATTCCGGCAAATAATGAAGGATTGTTCCCATTGGTAGATGAATGGAAAACAGGGCTGGAATCAGTTATCAGTAATTTCAATGAGTTACTATTAATTAAAGTTCCTGCCAACACTCATCCCCTAAGTTCAATTTCTTCTCTTTCCTGTCCTTGAACACCCCTGCCAATGTGCTCATGATTCATTTCTGGCTTGTAAAACTTTTCTAACAACAGCCACTGATCCAAAATCACAAGGTAAGAAATATTAACGTCATCACTGGATGACACATAATCAGCTATCCTGTTGTCATCATCATTACACAATCATCGTAACATTGGAACATAGGAACAGTGGGCCATACAGCCCATCTGTTTAATTGGACCATTCAATTCGAATATGACTGATTGTCTACCTCAGCACCACTTTCGTGCTTGTCCCTTGGTGCCATCAGCATTCCAAACTTTCTGGGTTGAACGTGCTGAATGATCGAGCTTTCACAGTCCTCTTTGACAGAGAATTACATAGATTCACCACCTTCTGGGTGAAGAAATTCCTCCTCATGTCAGAATAAGGAGCACGTCACTTAAGACGAAGGTTGTGTTCCTTGATTCAAGACTCAGCAGCCGCAGGAAACATCCAATGTACTTCCCTCCTGTCTCACTATAAGAATTTTGTAAATTCCAATGAGGTCACCTCTCATTCTTCAAAATTCTAGAGAATACAGTTTTGTCAATCTCTCCTCATATGACAATCCCACTAGCCCAGGGATTAGTCCAGTGAACTTCTGATGAACTCCCTCTACAACAAGTATATCCATCCTTAGAGAGGGATACACAAACTGTACACAATATTCCAGGTGTGGTCTCACCAGGGTCCAAAACAACGGCACCAATTTACTCCTGCACATAATACTCTTGCAATGAAGGCTAACATACCTTTGACTTCTTGATTAGTTGCTGCACCTGCATGTTAGCCTCTACAGAGTCACAAAAAGGGCACCCAGGTCCCTTTACACATCAGCACTTCCTAATCTCTCACCAGTTAAAAAATATTTTGTCTTTTTGTTTTATTTCTACCAAATTGAACAACTTCACACATATTCACATAAGATTTTAGCTGCCATGTTATGGCACTTCACCTGTCCAACTAGTTTGAGGCTCCTTGTATCCTTTTCACAACATACACCTAGTTTTGTGTATTCAGCAAATTTGTAAACATTGTATTGATCCCCACATTCAAATCATTTGTACAGATTGCGAACAGATGTGACCCCAGCACCGAATTTGACCTGTCCCACGAGTTACAGCCAATTTGAGAATTACCCATTTATTACTACTCTCTAATTTATGTTTAATCAATTTTCAATCTGAGTGTATTACCCCTAATTCATTGTGCTCTAATTTTATTTCCTAAACTTCTGCGTTCTGAAAATTCAAACACACTATATCTGCAGGTTGTCCTTTATCTATGTTACAAGTAACATTCCCACAAACCTTCAACAGAATGGTAAACATGATTTCCCTTTCATAAATTCTGACTGATATTGCCCAATAATATCATTATTCTTTAAGTCTCTAGTTATCACATTTTTTATCATATATTAAACATTTTCCCTAAAACTGAAGTCACACAGGTCAGTAGTTCTCCATCTTCTCTCCCCCTCCATTCTTAAATCATGTGGGTTTACATTTGCTACTTTCCAGTCTGCAGGAAACTTTCCAGAATGTACAGAATTTTGAAAGAAGGTTGAAAGATGAATTTTGAAAGATCCAAGGAATGCTAATACCTTAAGTTCATGAGCCCACGTCAGAGTGACCCCTATTGGGAGCAAAAGAACTGTTGGGAACATCGATGGATTCTCTAATTTCCTAACAAATTCAGCAGCATTGTGTCTAAAGGTGAAAATATTGAACACACGTCTTCAACATTTTTTGTATCTCTGTTTTTACCTCAACATGTTCTGTTTTGGAGTCACGGGAACTTCGTGAAGGCATCCTATTGGAGAAAAAAACATTACAAGCATGATAACTAAATTCTGCAACATTAACCACATATTTTGCTCCAATTTAATATTTTAGCCACCCACCGCAGGATGCCTAATGACACAGAGATTCCACATAGAAGTTCAAGGCAGACGATTTGCAAATTACAAAGATCCTGTTTCTATTCAACAGGAAGATAAAGTGTATATCAGTAGGTAATGAGATCAGGGATGTGAAAAGCATGCTGAGGAGCATCGGAAAATTTAGACTGGAAAAACATTGAGACATTGATGAGAATATTAACACTATAAACAGTGGAAAACAGAAGAAAGAGAGGCTAGTTAAATCTTCTGCCTTCCAAAAGCATCTAATGTTAGACCTGATCTGTTTAACAGACAACAAGGTGCAGGGCTGGATGAACACAGCAGGCCAAGCAGCATCATAGGAGCAGAGAGGCTGACGTTTCGGGCCTAGACCCTTCATCAGAAAAGGGGGAGGGGAAGGGGGCTCTGAAATAAATAGGGAGAGAGTGGGAGGCGGATAGAAGATGGATAGAGGAGAGGATAGGTGGAGAGGAAACAAACAGGTCGAAGAGGCGGGGATGGAGCCGGTAAAGGTGAGTGTAGGTGGGGAGTTAGGAAGGGGATAGGTTTTTCCTCTCCATCTATCCTCTCCTCTATCCATCTTCTATCCGCCTCCCACTCTCTCCCTATTTATTTCAGAACCCCCTTCCCCTCCCCCTTTTCTGATGAAGGGTCTAGGCCCAAAACGTCAGCCTCTCTGCTCCTATGATGCTGCTTGGCCTGCTGTGTTCATCCAGCCCTGCACCTTGTTGTCTTGGATTCTCCAGCATCTGCAGTTCCTACTATCTCATGTTTAACAGACAAACAGGTTAGACCCAAGCGGGGGAAAAAAGGCATTCCCAAAAGCATCTAGATATGTTTTCCAACACAGTGTCCATTGCAGAACATGCTTAATGTAGTGTACAGATCAGCAAATAAAGATTACATCGCACTATGAATTTATATCAATACATTTAAACTGTTCAATTGCTGATGCTCTTTGATTTTCTCAGAATCTGCCACTGCCTGTAATGTCCCACCAATAACTCATGCAGTTAGCAAATTCTGACACTTCAGCTGCCTTAATTGCATGGCCTTTGTTATAATGACTTTACGACTCATTCAACTGTCTTTGACTTTACCACAGTTCAGATAGCCAAGGTTTCTTATAATGTGGGCTTGCACTAAATTTCTACATCCCAACAATTACCTGTCAGTACTGATGAAATCCACAGCTTGAGGGCAAATTCTTATTGCTACAGCTATCAGCGTGGCCAGGCTTGCAGTCCTGGCAAGGGAGCTGAAGGATATTAGGAGCCAGGTCTGAGGTGCTGAGGGTTGGCAGTAAATGGGTAAGGATCATCTTGTTGGGGGTGGAGACCACGGGGAACTTCTAAAGGAGGTACCCTCTGCTTGCAATGACACCACACTGCACAGCTAAAGTTGTTAAACTTCCCAAACAACATGAGACTCCATTTGCTGTGAGAGAAAGAGCAGTGGGCACAGGATAAGTCCATTAGGTGGGTATTAATTGGTCACAGAAAGGTCTCAACTCCTCATTACATCCTGTAAATATGATTAAGGTTGAAGGCGAATGGCAGATGGTTGGCAAGTCACAAGCTGGATTGTGTGAGCATCACCCCCTTTAAATTCACTAGATTCAAAAGGATAAAATCTAGCCTGCTTCTTTAATTTGGGAAGAAGGTGTCCTGAGCAGAGCCAATACAAGATACAGGATGCAGCAACATCCTGGAAGTCCCTTCCTCATAGCACTATAGCTGTACTTACACCACATAGAATGCAGTGGTTCAGCAAGGTGGCCCACTACCATTTCATAAAGGGCAATTGGGAAACAACGGTAAATACTGGCCTTGCCGGTGAGTCTGACATGCAATGAGAGAATAACAACAATTATGCTGGACATGATTAGACTGTGGTCAAGAACAATTCTGCCTCTGCAGAGGGGCCAGTTCTGAGCTGCTGGACAGATCCTAATTTAGTCTTATTTAGCACAATGGTAGGACATCAATACAATGAGGAAATCCTCAGTGTCAATACATGTCTTTGTTTCTACAAAGACTGAATGGTGAGATGTAGCTTTAAATAGCAGTGATATTGACAATCATGTCCAAGAGACCACAATAAAGGATACAGCAGTCTGCATTACTCAGAGATATACTTATAGAGAACAATGTTATGTAGAATAGTGTAAACACCAGAGTCAGTCAGTTGTTAGCCATAGGTAAAGGCAAAGCATTACAGGCCACAACCTAGCATAAGAGACAAGGATAGACATCCCCCACTGCACAGTGTCGAAGCTGAGCCACAGGCCTTGTAACAACACAAACCATACAGCTCAGCGGTACACTTTTGAGAAGGGGTGGTCATGGGAGTCCAAAATTCAACTTTGGACCTCATGAATTCTTATAGTAAGTCAACTACGGTCAAGGAAACCTGATAATTATCACGTACCTCCTCCCTAAGCTGATGAATCAATACTCTTCCATTTGGATGAGGATTGATGGTTGTGTGGATTTAGAATGTATTTTGGGACTGCAATGGCAGTCACAAAGAGTGGTTCTAAGAGTGGCACTATTAATGAGTGAGCTGGTTAAATCCTTAAGTATGTATCTGTCAGAAGTGAATGAGGCAAGTGATGAGTCACCAACAAGAGAGAAAATGTTCAGTTGGTTCAAAATGATCTGGAATCTGGAGGAGGTGATGCCACAGAGGCAAAACATAGAAGACAGGCACTGAAGAGAAAAGTGTTTAAAGACAAAAACAAATTTAATAGAATAAGCAAGGATAGTTTGCTGTCTTACCCATTAGTGATTTTGACCAGACAGAGCTCTGGTTGTGTGGATAGCAAAGAAACTAGACTGAAGCATGTCAACCACCAGCAAGAAAACAATGTCAACATATTGAACACAAAGTATGTATTTGATGAAAATACTTACATTTTTGAGGAAGTTTCTTTGCCAATGTTTCTTTGTTGATTTTTCTTTCTTAGTCTTTGATAAAGATAGCCTAAAGTGCTAAGCAGAATTACGAGTATCAGGATTATGATGATAAAGGGCACCATGTAATGACGTGGCTGCTGATCGTCTGCAACTAAACGCACAAAACATTTCTGTTATGTGATACCAACAACAACATTGCACCATCATAGGAGCGCTCACTAGTTTTTTTTAAGGTTTTTACTTCATTCCTGCATCAGTATTGGCTTGGAGCCATGAACTGGAAATGGTGAGCTAAAGGTGAGTAACAGCTTGTGAGGAAAGGAAAACAGACTAAATAAGATTTTGATTTTTCATAAGGCCACATCTGGAAGTTAATTGCAGGTTGGTTCCTGGTTGAGATTCTGCAGACACTTGGTCACTGGGGAAGGGTATCATGTTTAACAGACAGCAGAAGTTGGGGTATTAATGAGGTCAAAACCTGGGAATTGGTTCAGACAAGTCTGGAAGAAACCCCATGCTCAAGCAGATGGCAGATATTGAATGGTAGATGTGACCTCATGGAGGAGACAGTCAGTCTGTTTGGGAATGGTCTCAGTTTGAACTGAATTTTGGACTATGTCTTACTGTAAAAACAGAATCTGGCTGTTGATGCTGCAGCATAAAGATTCAAAAGCTTCCCTCCTATCCTCCCATGAGCAGAGAATAGAAAACCAAGTTATCAATATTACTGCCTTTATCACAGTGAACTGAAAAGGTGATCGTGATCATTGGAAAAACAAGGACTGATGAGGAATAGTCAACAGGACTTTTTACCTGGGAAATCATATCTCACTAACTTGATTGAGTGACAAAGAAGATTAATGAAGGAAGAGTGGTGAACGTAATCTATATGGACTTCAGCAAGGCTTTCAACAAGGTTCCGCACGGTAGACTGGTTAGCAAGGTTAGATCACATGGAATCCAGGGAGAGCTAGCCATTTGGATACAAAATTGGCTTGCAGGTAGGAGACAGAAGATGGTGGAGGAGGGTTGTTTTTCGGACTGGAGGCCTGTGTCTAGCAGTCTGCAGTTAACTTCCAGTTGTGGCCTTATGAATAAACAAAAGCTTGTTTGATCTATTTTCCTTTTCCCACAAGTTGACCACTCACAAACCAAAAGTCATCTTTAGCTCACCATTCCCAGTTCACACCTCCAAGGATTGGTGCTGGGGTGTCCACTGCATTGTGTCATTTATATAAATGATTTGGATATGAATATAGGAGGTATCGTTAGAAAATTTGAAGATGCCACCAAAATTGGTAGTGTAGTAGACAGTGAAGAAGGTTATCTCAGAGTGCAACAGGACATCGATCAGATGGGCCAAGGAGTGGGATCGGTTATTCAAAAGTCTGGGTAGAAACCAATTTAGATAAATGAGAGGTGCTGCATTTTGGCAAGGAAGAGTAGGCCAGGATTTATACACTTCATGGTAGGGTCCTGCAGAATGTTGCCGAGCAAAGAGACCTTGGGTGCAGGTTCATAGTTACATAAAGATGGAATCGTAGGTTGACAGAGCAGCAAAAGGTATTTGGTGTGCATTTTTTTTCAGTCAGTGCATTGAATATAGAAGTTGGGATGTCATTGTTATGGCTGTATAGAACATTGGTTCGGCCACTTTTGGAATACTGCATTCATTTCTGGTCTCTCTGCTAAAGGAAAGATGTTAAACTTGAAAGGGTGCAGAAAAGATTTACAAGGATGTTACCGTGGATGGAACATTTGAGCTACAGGGAGAGGCTGATTAGGTTGGGGCTATTTTCCCTGGAGTGTCAGAGGCTGAGGGGATGATCTTATCGAGATTTGTACAATCATGAAGGGCATTTGGATAGGGTGAAGAGCAAAGGTCTTTTTCCCAGGGTAGGGGAGTCCAAAACTAGAGGGCAGAGGTTTAAGGTGAGAGGGGAAAGATTTAAAGTGGGCCTAAGGGGCAACTTTTTCATGCAGAGGGTGGTGTGTGTACGAATTGAGCTGCCAGAGGAAGTGATACAATTACAACATTTAAAAGGCATCTGGATGGGTATATGAATAGGAAGGGTTTACAGTGATATGTGCCAAATGCTGGCAAATGGGACTAGATTAATTTAGGATATCTAGAAAGCATGGATGAGATGGAGCAAAGGGTCTGTTTCCGTGCTGTACAACTCTATGACATCTTCGGAAAATCAACCAGGAAACATTTATGCCTTTGGAACGAAACATTGCGAAAACAACTTAAATAATTTGGCCAGTTTTGGTATTTGTTTTTATTTATCCCTTAACTGAGTCTGTTCGTATGCCTGACTTATGTGATTGGGGCTGAAAACAAAGGCTTTTGGGTTTAATGCACAGATCAGTTAGATTACTTTGTTGTTTCATTTTTACTCTGTTAAAGTTACTATATTGTAAATAAATTAATAAGTCTTTTGTTTAAGTAATAAACTGGTGTCTGGAACTCATTAATCGTAGAGTCTGGGATTGGTTATTGAAAAGTCTGGTTAGAAACCATGGGGGTCAATTTTGAGGATCCTTGAAGGTGTTAATTTTACTGTGTGCAAATACAGAGGTATAAAGCATGATTGGTTTGGCTACCATGGATTTGTTTGTAACACCATGAATGCAGAAAAATCTCCTCAGGTACTTCAGTAGAACAATTAGACAAATACAGATGATGAACTCAAGGGGACGGCATTAGGAGGACATTTAGGATGGGCTGAAGGGCTAAAATTTTTGATGATATTCAACAGCTGGATGACCTCGAATGAGTCCTGTACGTGCCGAAGATGGCACAATCAATGTGTTTTTCTGTAATTGTTTTTCTGTGCTTGGCTCTTTCTTTCACTGTATGAGAGAGTGAGTTTCATTCCAAGTCGCTGGACTTCACCTTGGACTGAGATCATGAACAGTGCGAGGAAAAACCTCGGCGTCCAGACCAGCCATCGATCGAGGTGTCCCACTGGGCAGAAGGAAGTGAAGCTTCTTGTTTTTTCACTCTTTTTCATTTTTTTTATTTACTTAATAAACGTTTCTTTCTTTTCTCATTCTTTCATTATTACTCAATAAATGTTCATATTTAAGCAAATTGCTATTGTCGAGCCTTCTCTTAATTACATTTAACTGAATCCAAAAGGAACTGCTTGGATACACGCTGTGATCCAAGACAAAGGAATAACAAAAAGCTTATTCAAAAAGATGTTTTCAAACAGCTTCTTTTAGTAGGATAGAGAGAGGGTGAGAGATAGCTAGAGAGATAGAGTTAGAGGAGTTCTTTATTGACTTCCATTGGTGCATTTGTTTTGATACAACTGGAAGACAATGAGATAACTGGCTAGAACTGTAGAAAGATTGAAATAATGATTTACACTGATTGAAAAAAAATTGTAAAGGACCAATGGATGCTCCAACAGGTCTGCATAAAGCAACTTAGGGGACAGTGTGGTACTGACACCGTGCTAAATGGAATACATTGGGAACAAGGCTATTGGTCAAACAGGCACCCATGAGGCATTTTGAGCCATCAACAGCAGAATTATATTACACTGCAATCTGTGACTTCCGGGCCTGGCATATTCCCTGACTCTATCAGCATCACACCAGATCACAATCCTGATTCCATACAGTTATAAAGGAACATGCACCAAGGAATCTGAAAATGAAGCATCAACCTGATAAGCCTACAGCACATGATTCCAATCCTGCTAAACATCTGAATCATCATGCTACAGACAGAGCCAAGTGATCCCCCAACAAGGGGATATGATGAAAGTTCTGCATTCTTGCAACATTCATTTGTGAACTGATATAGATAGCAAATTGCATAGCTAACAGAAAACAAAAATAAATAAATGGGTCTTTTTTGGAGTGGAAGGCAGTGTCTAGTGGGTACCAGAGGGATTAGTGCTTGGTCCCAACCGTTCACAATATATATCAATGATTTAGATGACAAAATAAAATGTAATATTCCCAACATTGTGTACTTTACTCCTCCAGTGTCATCAGCAAAGAAGAGGAAACTAGGAAGAATTCTGAGTGGTGAGGAGGAAGTAAAGAAGCAACAAGATGAGTTAACTGAGAGAGGGCAAATACGTAGCAAATAAGTGTGAAGTAGTATATTGTGGTAGGAAAAACAAATTGTTAGAAAATTATTTAAATGGTGATAGATTGGGAAAGGTTGATGTACAAAGGGGGTTGGATATCTGTGTACACCAGTCACTGAAAGCATGCACACAAGGGCAGCAAGTAGTTCGGAAGGCTAACTGTATGTTGGCCTTTATTTCAAGTGGAATGCAGGATCAGTAAAGATTAAGCAGGTTGGAACTTTTGTCCCTTGAAAATGTAGATTAACAAGAGACTTGATGATTGAATTTCTGAAGTAGTTCAAAAAGTGTGGATGCAGGAAAACTGCATGAATCCAGAGAGGTTGCAAATGTTGAAAACTACTAATAAATCAAATAAAGAATTTAAGAATAATTGATTCATACAGTGTGGTGAGATTTTAGATCTTGGTGGCAACAGGGGCTGGCTGCATCCGGAACACAAATCTTCTTCCAGCCCAGAAAATATCCACTGACCACTACATTCTGTCTCCTAACATTCAGCCAATTTTGTGATCACATGGGCTATTATCAGCTTCTACTGATTCCTGAAATGAACACCCAGGTTTAAACATGCATTCATTATTGACAAAAAAAATTAAATCAACTTTTTTTGAAAAGGCTACCATACAAAATTATTATAATTTTGCAGCTGGACACTTTTGCAATAATATTGACAATGGTGTTATGCCAATTTTTCTAAGTATAGAAACAATGTAATATAAGAATTTAATTTTTCAGTTGTAAATTGTTTTGATTTTGACATCCTTTACCGGCAAAATGTGTTTATTTATTCAATTTGAAACTGAGCTTAAAAAACAATAAAGCGTACATATATCCCATATTTTGCATACTTGAGGAGAGACAAGAACTCGGGGACAGAGATTAAAAAAAGGGGTTTCCCCACTGAGGATCTTTTTCTCTGAGGGTCACGAGTGCTTGGAACTCTCTACCATAGGCAGAGTCCTTGAATACTTTTAAGGCAGAGGTAGATCTATTCTTGACTAATTAAGAGGTTATCAGGCATTGGGAGAAAGGTGGAAATTAGGATCAACCATGTGAGCTATGGTGTGATTGAACTGCAGGGCAGGCTAGAGAGGCCAAACAACCTATTCCTGCTGCTCCTTTGTATGTTGGCAAGTAAATCAGATTAAAAGATACTTACTTGGAAACAAATATATGGAGCCTGATGCAGTCCCAGCTGTGTTGCTTGCTGCACAAGTATAATACCCATACAGTTCTGGGGTCAACTTAGACAATTTAATTTGGTTGTGTTGTATTATCACACCTTCCGGAATAGAGTCATTAGGCCTAATTAAACAAAAAAGGTCAATTGCAGAGTGAGTATAAAATATTTCATTTGCTTCAATCAAACGGCATGAGATTTTATGATAATTGCATGCAGTTTATAGATATCTTCTAATCAACATCTCTGGTGCAGGTTGAACCCGAGACTCCTAGCCCAGAGTAGGAATACTACCACTGTGTCACAAGACCCCTCTCACACAGAAAATATACTTTAGTAAAATTGTGCCAGCAGCAGTTACATTCTTTTTGGCAGGTTTCAATTCATGTGCCTACATTGATACAATGAAAGATACATTGATACAATCAGTACAAAAGTGTGTTGCATTTAAATTAAGCCTCTAACATAGGAAAAGATCTGAAGACACTGCAAAGATATATTTTTTCTTTGAAGAAAAAATACCATAGGCCAGAAGATTCACAACAGCTAAAACATGACACAGCAACCTGGCTTCAAAAGTGACCAGACTTTCAGGACTCTGAGGATTTGGAAAGTTTTAGAATGTAGACAAGGAGGACCAAGAAAATGACAAAGAAAGGAGAAACAGATTAAGTATGCATTCTAACACAAAAGAAAATGGATTATAAAAGCTTCTACAGAAACGTGAAAGGAAAATAAGCAGAATATAGGTCCATTACAGGCAGGGTCAGGCAACGTTATAATGAGGAATAGAGAAATGATGGAATTTTTTTAGTTATGTGCAAATTGATTTTTTTGGATGGTTTTTCGCGTTGAAGCCCAGCAGGATTTCACAACATATCTCACCTAACACACCTTATTAATTACCTACTCTGCTCTTATGGTGTCACTCAGTCTCAATTGTATCCCGATCTTAACATCTACGGTTTTCTGACTAACTCACAACTCACTAGAAATCTGCTGACACAGCAGCATCCCTCGGCACTTGCACATATTTAAAAAGCCATTGTGCACCCAGGTTAGCAGTGGCATTTTGAAGCTGTCCTGCTGGGTCAAGGAAGAAATCTGAGCATGTTTGAGAAAGGCTAGTTGGTGCTGCAACTCTCCAACAAGGACCTAAAAATCTTGATAGGAGGGGTGGTGCAAAGGAGAGGAGTCCTCTTCCCAGAGGACTGGCAGATCGAAGCAGCCCGGTCTGAGGTCATCACCTGGGTCAGTGCTATCTCCATGGTGAGGAGAAGCAACCAGCAGTGCCTTGGGAAGGTCAATTACCTTCTCCATTTCATCAGGCTAAGAACCGCACTCTTTGCTCTGGCACCTCACATTCACTCACTCTCTCTGCAACTGCACCCACATGTCACCAGGCTCATGCTCTGCCAGTCTCTATTGCCTCCAATATGTTGATTACTTGATAAACCTAGTTGCTGCGTCATGTTTTAGTCCTTGTCGATTTTTTTGTCCCGCCATCGGTATTTCTGTTTAATATCTATGCATATTTTTGCCTTCGTCCAGCAAACTCCCAAAACATTTAACCTGCATGGTCTACTCACTCACCTGAATCACCTCACCACCTTTCGACCTGCACAAGTACTGATGGCCAAGCCACTGACTTTCTCACCCAATGTGTCCCTTTATCTCATTCCAGGAGAAGGAAGCCAAAAGGGCCCAGATGGGGGGAGAGAGGTGCTCGAAATCAACTCTTCACCCCGAATGAGGAGAGAATCCTGTCCCTTGCAGGATAAGACTGAGTCTGCATGAGGGATTCCTGTGGCTGGTGCCCACGAAATATTTCCATTAATCATGGGGAATGGTGATGGCCCAGTGGTATTATCAATGGACTGTTAATCCAGAGATCCCAGAAATTGGGAAAGAACAAAGCCCTTGCAGTATATAAGGCAAGCGGGAAAGAATCTAATCAAGGAATTAGAAAGGCTGAAAGGATTAATGAAAAGTCATCAGCAAACAGGTTTAAGGAGAATCCCAATGCTTTTTATACATATCTAAAAAGCGAGAGTGTGGCCAGGGAAAGGATTGGCACACTCAAGGACAAAGGAGGGAATCTACTTGTGGAGCCAGAAGAGGTAGGCGAGGTGTACCAGGGTGTTGCCTGGTAGGAGGGATTTTAGCTATGAAGAAAAGTTGGATAGACAGTGGACACAGTATGGAGCTGGAGGAACACAGCAGGCCAGGCAGCATCAGAGGAGCAGGAAAGTTGACGTTTCGGGTCGGGATCCTTCTTCAGAAATAGGGAGGGGGAAGGGAGCTGGGAAATAAATAGAGGGAGGGGTGGGGCTGGGGAAGGTAGGTGGGATGGTGATAGGTGAGTGCAGATAGAGAGTGGTGGGAATTGGTCAGTGGGATGGGTGGGATGATAGGTGGGACAGAAGATGGACAGGATGTGTCAGGTCAAGGAGGCGGGGATGAGAGGGAGGGTTGGTCACGGGATTAGGCCGGGAGTGGGGAGATTTTAAAACTGGTGAATTCCATGTTTAGGCCATCGTCTGTAGGCTCCTGAGGTGGAATATGAGGTGTTGCTCCTCCAGTTTGCGGGTGGTGTCATTGTGATAGAGTGGATTTGTTTTCACTGGAATGGAGCAGGTTGAGGGGCAACCTAATAAAAGTTTATAAAATTGTGAATGGCATGGATAGAGTGGTAAGTATGAGGCTTTTTCAAGGGTGGAAGGGTCAATTACTGGGAGAAACAGGTTCAAGGTGCAAGGGTTGGGGGGGGGGGGGTGTTGTTTAAAAGAGGTGTGTGTGGCATATTTTTCACACAAAAGGTAGTGAGTGCATGGAAAGCATTGCCAGAGGAGGTGGTGGAAGCAGACATAATAGCAGCATTCAAGAAACACCTGGATGAATACATGAACAAGAAGGGAATAGAGGGATACGGATCCTGTAAGTGAAGACAGATTTAGTATGGAAGGGCAAAATGTGTCAGCGCAGGCTTGGAGGGATGAACAGCCCATTCCTATGCTGCATTGTTCTTTGAATGTTTTGGGGACCCGGGTTCGAATCCTGCCATGGCAGATGGTGAAATTTGAATTCAGTTTTTAAAACTCTGGAATTAAGCATCTAATGATGACCATTGTTGATTGTCAGGAAAAACCCATCTGGTTCACTAATGTCCTTCAGGGAAGGAAACTGCCATCCTTACCTGGTCAGACCTACGTGACTCCAGACCCTCAACAATGTGGTTGACTCTGAACTGCCCTCTGGGCAGTTAGGGATGGGCAATAAATGCTGGCCTGGCCAGCAATGCCCTCATCCAATGAATGAATAAATACAAAAAAAAATTAATATTAAATGTTAACTCACTGGCTCCCAGTGCCACTTCAAGTACACTTCCTCACACCATATTCTGAGTAAGGATTCCACTGCATTTTCCAGGTTTTCTGCTTCCATCACATTTGTTCTGATGAAACAACTTTCCACACTATAGCCTTTCGAAAGGAATCTCAGCCCGAATGAAAACAGATAATGTTGTATGCAGTTGCAGTTGTTTCAAGTCGCATGACCTCACATTGGCTAAAAACCTCACACCCACCCCTTGCTCAATTCTTATTACTTCAGTTCTTTCTAGTTCTGACAAAGAGTCTTTGATCTGAAATATTAATGCTGCTTCTATTAGATTTCAAACATCTGCAGTATTCTGACCTTCAAAAAAATAAAGCTTCATCTGTTCTGTCCCGACAATCTGGCAAAATTCTTCCTGTAAGAAAAATGCTAGCCATTATGATGTTACTTTCAATTCTACACATTAGCTAAACTATGCCCTCTCTGACCAGCATTCTTAACTGTGAATGGGTCAGGGAATTTTCCTGCTGTCATCCACTGAGTGTCAAAACTACACTCAATGTCTCAAATTACTTTACTTAGAAACATTAACATATGGAGGATGACTCGACTATATTGCAAGCCAGATCCAGATGTAAATGGCTAATATCAAACTCGCTATACTCTCATTGATAATGATCCTCTGTTCACCACATTTCTCCAGTCCTGATCTCTTCAACAAACCCTCAACTCTAATTGCCATGTCTGCATCCCATTTAAAACCATTAATTGCTTCCACTTGACTCTTTTGTTGAAACAGTCCTTATTCCCACTTTCTGAGAGATGCAGACTTGAAGAGATTTAGCAGACAAGTAATTTAGCCATTTTCCATATTAGCTTGGACAACACAAAGCACCAGTGGGTCTTGCTCTTGTCCACTATGATTATCCAAGAATACAAAGGCAAATTGCATTGATTTTAAGCACCTGCTGTATTACAACTCTCCCCTCTAACAAGTTTGAGGAGCTCCTTAATCAATTTGTCACCATGATTGAAATGTTAAACCAGAGGCTCAACTGCATGTGTTCAGATGAATGTTTTGATGTTGTCATTGGATCATCTAAGATGTTGGGTAAGAGATAGTAGGAACAGCAGATGCTGGAGAATCCGAGACAACAAGGTGCAGAGCTGGATGAACACAGCAGGCCAAGCAGCATCATAGGAGTAGAAAGGCTGACGTTTTGGGCCTAGAAAAAAAGCAGGAAACTTACCTGGAAATTACTTGTCCCTCCCACACCTTTCAGAGAAATATCAGAGCATAATCTCTGGCCCTCAGAAACTATAACAAATACGAGATAACAAGGTGTAGAGCTGGATGTACACAGCAGGCCAAGTAGCATTGGAGCAGGAAGGATGACGTTTCGGGCCTAGACCCTTCTTCAGAAACGTCAGCTTTCCTGCTCCTGTGATGCTGCTTGGCCTGCTGTGTTCATCCAGCTCTACACCTTGTTATCTCAGATTCTCCAGCATCTGCAGTTCCTACTATCTCTGAAACAATTTTAACCCCACTGTGAAACCTCTTCTAAGGATGCTTTTTCTGATGAAGGGTCTAGGCCTGAAACATCAGCCTTTCTGCTCCTATGATGCTGCTTGGCCTGCTGTGTTCATCCAGCCCTGCACCTTGTTGTCTAAGATGTTGGGTATCTTACTCTTGACAAGAGATCTGATGAGAGTTAAAGATATTTGTAAAGTAACCTTTAAAGTGAAACACTCAATTGTATAACAGGTTTACTGAGCACCAGGTTGTCACAGCGACTGCTCCTTGATAAGATTCTCCTCATTCTTATTTGTACAATATCTGTATGACATAACTCCTTCTGCGCATGCTCAGTAGCTATATTAAGAGTAGTGCAGGAACTAGGCCTTTATTCTACAAATATAAAAGATCCAATGCCACTATTTCAAGGACAGCTATCCCTGGTGCCCTGGGCAAAATGTACTTCTCAATCAACATCATAAAAAAAAGATTATTTGACCATTACAGCATTTCTGTTTGTTGGTATTCACTGAATGTACATGACCTGCAACATTTCCTCCATCATAATCATGATTATACCTCAAAAGGTAGTCCATTGGCTAAAAATTGCTTTGAGATATTTGGTGATCAAGAAATGTGGTCTATATATACAAGCCTTTGTTTTTCAACTGACCAGCTGATCCATCAATTTCTCCATTTCCCTAGCCCATTGGCCCTAACTTATGTCAGGCTTCTCTCAACCCAAGCCTTGTATTTTTCTTCAGTTTCTCTTTTATCTCCTTTCATGCCCTCTCTAAACACATCAAATGCTTTTGTGCGATTCACATAAGCATGCACCTCCTATTCTCTTAACCCCATTCTCATAATTGTAGAACTAAATTCAGCAAAATTCCATTTTTTTAAATACATAGTATCATAAACATAAGAGAAATGCTGCATTCTCAAGTCTATGGGGTTCTTTTAATTTGTCTGTCAGCAAAGTTCATCATTGTGATTATTAAGCGTAGAATTATGTGGAATTTTATGTTGGGAGTCCATGACCTTTAGAAAACGAGCAAGGACTGAACAAACTCTTTACAATGAGCAGAGAGTAGCAAAATTTGATGACACCTGAATTTGATTTCAGCTCCAAAGTGCAAGAGACATTGTCATACAGTTTACAATTTAGTACCTTGTCAGAGTTTTGCCTAATGGAAGGCCAAATTGGAAATTTGCAGAGAGGTCAGTGTTCCCATTTCAGAATCTGCATGAGTTACTGGTTATCAATTTGCAAGGATGGAGAATAGTACATGGCAGGAATTTGTTGAATTGATCTTCACATGAATGTGAAGCCTGCACTGTATTTGTACTGCCATGCCAGTTCCTCCTACCATTTGGGCAATAAAACAGATATGTTCTTACTTTGTCCAGATATATTCAGTAGGAGGTGGGTTAGCGTCTGCAGCACAAATCAGGTATAAGTAGCCATCTTCATTCTTCTGAGATTTAATTAAAACTGATGACATG